TATCTATCTATCTATCTATCTATCCATCTATCTATAATTAGATATTATCGTTTTTGGTAGTGAGTATATATGGCATATATAGTAGAGCTGGATAGTCTAGTTGACTTATGTTTCATTTATAGGTAGGTTTTCGAGACATAGTAGGTCAATTATATATGAAGTGTATTCACCCTATTTCGTTTAAGGTGATAGAGAATTAGCTGAATGAGGATAACTTTTTGGAAAGCAAGGGTATGTGGAATTGAATGGAAATGTAAGGTCTACTCATATCATAATTGGAAAAATTAAACTCAAAATCCCCTTATCACCTTAAACAAAATAGGAGAAATACACTTCATATATTCTTGGCTGATTGTTATCTCGAAGTCATGTTCAAAAATTAGTTCCTGCTTTGATGATGTCCATAATGTAGGATGACAGACGAAAGCTTGGCCCGGTTTCAAATGACACAAGGAAGGTTATCTCGTGGCCTGCGTCGGCATGAACGTCGAATTAATGCCAAATGGCTTCAGGGCGACGGGAATCGACCATCTTCTTCCGGTAAGCTCAACCAACCAATCTCGAATCATGCACTTTCATACCAAATGAAATATCCACAATAAGAACAAAACCAGTCGGCTCCATTAAGAGTGACAAGCTTTCGACTGTAAAGATGGAGAATGGTGATCCACACGCAGGGCAATACTCCACACTGTATCCCATTTCTCAGAGGTAGAAGGGGGGTTAAAAGGTATGGCAGATGGACTTCCTGTTTCCTGTACAATTTGGCCCTTTAAAAGCACTAAAGCGCAATACAAATATGTCCCAGACCCTTGTACATAACCCCACAAACCGAAACGAAAGAGAGCAATTTCCGACAAAGTCACCATCTCTGATCGACCAGAAACATAAAGCTTTTTCTCGCAGTTTGGATCGACAGAGGAAACCCAAATTGGTTCTGCCTCTAGTCTGGTCGTAGTCTCCCTTATGACGTGTTAATATTTCGTCCGTCATATGAACGACATCAGCGGAAAAGGTTATTATTTTAAAAACCATATTCAGGCTAATGAGCCCAGAGAACTCAGCAGCCTATCCATAAATGTTGTATATATCCTCTACAACTAACCATTTTCAATTAAATCTTAATTAATTTGGTTTGTTCAAGTCACATGCTAATCAGGAAGCATGTGCATATCTCTGTGTGTACTTATAGGTTTTCATGTGGATGTACATGCAAAAAACTAGTTCAGCGAAATAAAAATGCAGTTTTCTTCTCATGGGATCGAACTTTGAATAGCTTCCTCATACGCTTTCATTCAAAATGGATGTGCTAACTAATAGTTTGGTCTAAACAAAATGTAAGGTTATGCTGTTGTGAGGGGTAGGCCTTGAGACGGATGTAAGTTATTGGCAAATTGGCCTCCCCGTCCTGCGATACCGACGATGTGCCGAGGTCTTCTTCAAACAAGTTCACGGCAACCCTTCTTCGGTATCCAATGCAGTCAATTTACGAATCCCGCCTTTTCAGATGATTCTAAGTGATTGCCAGAAATAAAACGCTAAGAGTTTTTTCGACTCCAGCGTCTCTTAATATGTCTTATTCAGCGCGAATCGAGGACGGCTATTCAGTTTTACAGAGTAATTCGTGTTTCTTCTTCGCAGCCAATTTGTGAGGTTGACAGAGTTTTGTTTTAGCGGGAGTGGAGCTACTTCTTTAGTATTCAAAGCGACGTCAGTCTAGGATAACACACTTTTACAAGCCTCATTGGAAATACTTTCATTTCACATAAAGTGCATAAAGAAGAGAATCCAAGTTCGATCTCACCAGAAGAGTATGGCTGATTCCCGTTGTATTGCAGCCATTTGGCTTTAATACGATGTTCAAGCTGACGCACTCCACGAAACATCCTCCCTCTCAGACAAAGTTATCTCAGGATATTCATAAAAATTCAATTACTCTTCGTATATGAGATATATTGCCCCTATTTCGTTTAAGGTGAGGAAGGACTGGTAGTAGAATTTTCCCACAATGACATGAGTAGAGCTGATGTTTCCACTGCATTTCACAGAGCCTTTTAGGAAAGCTAAGCGAATATATCTTATATTACTGATTTACTGGTAGTCTCGAGACCATACTTATGTACTTCTTGTGCCACAAGCCTGTTCAACTACTGCTTGCTAATGAAGAGATTAATGCCAAAACTCTCGTAACAGGTTCGACTATGGAGCCAATAGTTTTGCTCTGGGTCCCGTAATCAAGATTTCTGAATCATTGTGGTGGGACTAACAGGGGCAATCTCTCTGGGCGCGGCATCAGGGCTCCTAACGAAGATCAACTAACCAGGTGTCAGGTTGTCTCTTGGTTATTCACTTTCCTGTTTGTCGAGAAGGGATTTGGTTTTCAGATTTTCGGCCTACCTGTCGATGCTCCTATCCTGTGCCCGGTTTGTGCTCAAGTCAGCTCGTGCGCAGTTTGAGTCCTTCCGGGAGTAGGGATGAGGCGATGAGTCGAACATGCACTCCAGACCACATGAGGACGACTATTTATCATAAAGCCGAGCCTTTGCTACAAATTTGTCAAGGCCATAGGGTGCAGCTTGTCAATGCCTGGCAGACAATCCGAGAAATTGTGTGCTTTACAGTCGCAATCGCCTATCCCAGACCGATATTTGCCCGAGCCGCAGAGACAAATCTGGTCATGGTCAGTAAAGAGGACTGAACGTGATCCAGGCAATCTTACTGTTATTCATGCGTCATAATGCTCATGTGAAGTGAGTAACAGACCCGTTAAACTACCTCTCTAGCTATCCGTATATACATCTATCTATTATCCATCGCTCTCTACTTCTGTGTATATATGCTCGTATACTTGTTTCGATGAGCTCAACTTTTTGTTTTCTCCTCTCCACTTCTTTTCGCAATTGAATCGAATAATTAATAAACACTTTCAGGTCGGACAGTATAATAAAATCTTTTCTAGGGCAGCCTAGGTTTCCATTCGAAATGGACCAAGCTGTTGTGAAATATGTTTCTTGCTTTCGAGCTCAGCTTCTGTATGAACAAACCACTCTAGTCTGGGCACATTTGCCCCCTTCCGCATACCCAATGTACACTTGGACGTGTCAGCCTCGTTGTCTGTAGTGTCGATATACCTTCTGGAGCCCGGTCAAAGTTCATCGGGCGCAGTATTAACTCGCCCAGATAGGAGGCACTTCTCATGGCCCATGCACGTGTGGCCCTCTGCCAAGTCTCGTTGTTGGGATCACATCGTGGAAAATCATAAAATGCGCATACACCCGGGCCTTTACCGACGGGATCTAAAATCGCCTGCTCCAGCTGTTACCAAGTTCGCCAAAAAACCTCAACTGTACCACAACTACATGTACATGTACACACCCAAATATGGGATGGGAGTGATAGGGACACGTCAGCAGACAGTGGGAAATCCGGCATGAGGACAACACAAACACACTGTACGCGGACTCACCCAACGTATTGAGATATATAATTGCTTGTTTAATAAGTTTTATGTATCCCACTCCCGTTGCCCTTCTTTCTAATTTGTGAATCAGGGCTGGGATATAATTTCTATCTTTTGCACGTGTCTGCTCTAGGTCGGAGGACAAAGATTGCTATTTCGCCCGTTCATGTCAGAAGGCCTCCTGAACCTAAGCAATGAAAAAAGTTACTCAAATATGTAAGGACAAACCACAAGTACACATATACACATGCTACGGTTCTTCACTGTATCTGCTGCACAAAGTGCATCCATGCGTGGCGCTCAGATTGGCCCGGAGTAGAGTACTTAAAGGCACGGACATATGTACCGATATTTCTCATCGCCGGGGAAAAATTCTATAAACAAGCTGAAACCATGTTAATCTTTATGCCTTTGACAATAATGTCGCGAGACGATTGTGCTTTTCGTGCCAGTTAATTTGCAAGCGACGGATTGAAGTGGTAGCTTGGATTCGAGATGGCTGACTTGATGCTAAATGGTTTTTAAGGTTGTCTTTTCATCTAGAGGCAGATAAAGTAAGATTGACGAGAGAGGATGATACTTTTCCTGCCGACGCCACCTCGACGCCAGTGTTATGAGTCTATTCAGTTCTGTTGTTGTGTCGTCATCTTAAGCAATTAGCATATATACATTAAAATCATGACATGTACTGGTATAAGTCAGATCCATCAATCGCATGGTTCAGCAATACTGGTCTGGCGGAGTACTTTCCCATTCCTTTGAGCTTTCACGTCAGCCTAGCCATCTCATGCAGTTTGCACCAAATCTCTGCCAATGCATCCTGGCGCGTCTTCACATGGGCATGTTAATGCCACAAAACTGGCGTTTCTGCTCTGTTTGCTTGTCTGCCAAATTCTCCTAGTCCACTTATCCTTCTCATATGCTTATCATGACAATGTCCACTCCCATGCCAAAAAGTGTGCGTTAATAAATCTTCTGATAAAAGTTGCAACAGACGCGAAAGCAAATGAATGCAGGTTGGATGGAAGATGGGGCATATAAAAGATAACTCGGTACGTCAATACCCGACCCCATTTCTGATAGCAATGGAAGGAAATAACCGAGAGAATTTGCTCTTGAACAGCCTTTTAGTCGTTATCGCATGCAAACACGACTACAACCAATACTGGTAAGCCCATTTTGGATAACCTCATGACCACGCTCACACATTCTTAAACATGTTAATATGCATGGAAAGCGGGCTGTACAGGTGCGACGAGTGTAAAGGGTTGGAATGATGACACTAAACCTGAGGTTCTCCAAGGAAAGAGGGGAGAGGCGGAACACTCATACGCGAGGCTTATAGAAAAATGCAGAGTTGACGATAATTTGACTATCAAGTGACAGGATATAGGAGTTTCTAGCCGTTTTTATCTGTTGCCTGGGCCTTAATCACTAGCCTCGAATCCAAGCCAGCTCAAAAGGGCGACATTCTAGCCTACAGGCGATCAGGTGTGTGTGTGTGTGTATAGGTGTCGGAGTACGAATGTTTGTGTGCTGCAGACAATAAGAGAGCACAATAGGCATATAAGAGGAGAGAGAGAGCAAGTGAAATAAAGAGGATATGAGTCTGGTTAGCCAAATGCCACGAGTTCTGAGACGGAGAAACTAATACGTCCATCAACCAGATGGCAGGTCCTAGCAAGAAGGAACAGGAAATGTTGAAGCCTCTTTTCCTTCTGCTGATGTGACTAGGTGTCGGACTGTCTACATTTGTGTTTTGTGGGGAGAGAGGAGCCCTATCGTGTATATTATGCGTCAGAATCGAGGGACGAGATAATGCAGCACATGAAAAATAGACATGGCAATCTTTGGAGATATAGAATAAATAGTATACCACCTGCTAGATTGGAAGGCTGAAATGACTTCCATCCGAAACAGTTGTTCATATCGAGGTGATGAACAGAGAACATTTCAGGAGAGGAGGATGACAAAAGGCCTAAAATTGTCGCATGTAGAATTCTTACTAGAAGTCATCCTGAATTACGAAAAGGCATGGTCTTCTAGGCCTGCAAAGCGTTGGTTACTAGATTATTCCAGAATAAGCCACACACATTTTCGGAATGTCCACCATCAAGTATCCATTTCACTGCCGAGTTGGGTCATTGCTAGGACACAGTTTCACCCCTCTTCCAAGCCGTGTGCCTTTTATATACAGAGAAAGTTATTTTAAAGATAAGAGTTTGGGTCATCCTAGGCCAAATGGGATGTTGAAGGACTGAGAGTCACATATTTCCACAAGTCTGAGAGGAATTAACTTGTATCATAGAGCCTACTTGTGTCATTTTGGGAAAATCTCCCTTACCAAATCGTAGATCAACTTAAATGATCAAAGGTATGAAGACCGAGATGATGTGGCCTTTTGCGTGGTCGCAGTCCCCTTTCGTTGTATAGAGGTTGTTTGACCTTGTTTTCGCAAGATGGTCATATTGGTAGGAAGACTTAGATGAACGCACCTAGTCCGGGGTCCATTGTATGCATGATCATTTCCAAAGTTGGACCGTGGACGTGGTACATTCCCAAACGTTTCGCCGGCATCGTCAGTGACTATCGTCATTCTTAGCACGACACAACAACTCGTCAAAGAGACAAGTGAAGCCGATCCTTTGACCAAACTTGTGCTAAACAATTGTGGTGTCTCCCCTTCTGCTCTCGGTTATTCGCGTTTCCGGTAGCATGACAGTTTGGGTCGGCTACAGCAACGACAGAGCCTCATTGTGAACTTATACCATAATTTATCTGATCATTCCGGTTTGGATGTCAATTCTAAAAGTTGCCTTGTGAATTTGTTGCATACAGCACGCCTCGGTAACGCTGTCCAAATTTCGTTTATAAAAAAGTTTCCCTGCCCTGGGCAGAAGGGGAGATACCACAATTGTTTGGCACAAGTTTGGTCAAAGGATCGGCTTCACTTGTCTCTTTGACGAGTTGTTGTGTGGTGCTAAGAATGACGATACTCACTGACGATGCCGGCGAAAAGTTTGGGAATGTACTACGTCCACGGTTCAAATTTGGAAATAATCATGCAGACAATGGACTCCAGGCTAGGTGCTTTCCTCTAAGTCTTCCTACCAATATGACCATGTTGCGAAAACAAGGTCAAACAACCTCTATTAAATGAACAAAGTTGACTAAGTTCTAACTCAAGATCGACTGATCGTCTCGAAACCTACATACTATGAATAGTAGTTTGTATATGCCTGTAATTTCGTTTCAAATCTCACGTGGTTCTACTGTTGACGTAATAGCAAGTGAAGCAATCCCAGACATGGAGAATTCGTTCTAATTTTCTGTGATCCCTGAACATGAGCCTAGTTGTTCTGGGTCGCGTAAGCTGATTTAAGAACGATTTGTCGAATATTCGACCTCTCTTGAACTGGCCTCATCAGCACCACCCCAGAATCAGCTACCGGGTCAGGGATATTGTGGG